GTTAAAAAGTTGATAGTTTGACAGCTGAAAGTTGAACTTGAAAGCTTGCCTAAATTATGATTTTATCCGTCTGTACTCTTGTTGATGATAAAAATGAGCCAATCAGCATGCGAGAAATTAGACAGTTATTGTAAAAACTGTGTTTGCCCCTGGAGTCAATCAATTTCTTATGAAAGTACAAGAATATGTTATGATAGAAAGGCACTCAGTTGTACGTAATGGCAAATATAATTATACATTGTACATGGTTTTATGTATCTGTGTGAGCAATTTCGCGAAAACATGCCTACCTAAGGCTCTTTCTTGGACTCAGGGGGCTCAGGAGCCCAGCTGACCACCTTAAATGTAGGGGAGCTTCTGTTAAGGCCCAAAAGAGGAGATGGTCAAGGGAGCAGTCCAAAACGGGGGGGAGGGTGTCTTCTTGTAACACACACAGGCATTCACTTCAAGCTATTGATGTAAGTTTTCATTGCTAAATATCATTAATTTTGACTGTATCGCTGGGCACTTTANGTCCAAAACGGGGGGGAGGGTGTCTTCTTGTAACACACACAGGCATTCACTTCAAGCTATTGATGTAACTTTTCATTGCTAAATATCATTAATTTTGACTGTTTCGCTGGGCACTTTACCCAGTTGTGAAACGCTGTTTGAGGAATCTATGCTGAGACAGTACACTGCTTACTAGAGGAACCTGTCCTGTTGATGGATGACAGGCCAATCTCCTCCCAGTGGGGTGGTCAAGGAACTTGAGGTCTTAAGTTCTTGCAGGCATGTTTTATAAAATACAGTCAGCTATATGTGCCTTGAGAGGTTTCTATCTACTTCGCTCAGCCAGCCGCTTACTTTGAATGGAACAGAGAAGAAAAAAATTGAACGAAAAAATGTTTCTAAAGTTATGCATGCAGACATCTCGTCTTAAAATTTACAATGTTGTCAATGTTATATAAATTTCGTAACGACACGAAATCGTTTTGATTGCTACAATTATCGCTTCTGATAGTAATACTACTTCACAAAACGTCATCATTAGTCTTGGATGACTGAAATTCTGCCTTCAGAATATTGAGCTGATGTGATATTTGGCTTTTTCTGGAACTTAGCTCGATTACCATGCAGCCGCTGTTCGAGAAAGGAGCCCGCGCTCCTCCTTGCGTGAGCGGCGGAAAGTGATTGTGATCCCGGTAAAACAGAATAGAAATAATAGGCATTGTTGAGCAGAATATTAGCAATGTATAATAATATTAAAAACCAGATGCCTAGGTGTGGATG